AATGAAATCTCGCATGGAGCGATCAAAAGAAAAATGTGTGTGTAGCAGCTCCATACCGAGTCCCTGGGCGTGTGAGGGCGAAACATACGGAGTGGAAATATCTGGGGATTTATCAGTCAGTGGAGAGAATCCAACGCAATCCGAGCACTAGAGCTGATCAATTTCTTCACTGTATTGGCCATCTGGGTTTTGTGTTTTTTTGCAAGGCTGAAAGTTGATCCGATTTCGACACAAAAGTGATCCAAAGTTTGGGTTTCTCTGAGGCGAGAGAGCTCCACTACCACGCGGACTATCTATCCTCGCACTTTTGGCTTTGAGCGGATTCAGCATAGCCAACTCATAAACAACTTTCTCCGTCCTTTCCCCCCGTTTCCCTTTGTTTTTTGGCTGTTAACGAACTATTTATGATTAAATTTATTGCTCACGAGTGCTGGAACAAGATGTGAATTGTTCAGCTTCCTCTCGTTTGCAAATATGTATTGGTTCATACACAAGAAACAAAAAACAGCCAACACGCATTCTCCTGTTTTTCACCCAAACACTATGGCACTCAACGTGATGTATTAAGTTAGTTAGTCGTCGCATCCTGTTGATACATATTGTTTTTACAACACAAGCGTCAAGAAAAATATAAATAAAGTCCCTAATCTGGATTCTAGATGCTGATGGGATAGAAACTTTGCGAAATTCATCGCACAAATACAAATTTAAATAACAGAAACTTTCCAAAGAAATAGAGGACCGAAAAATATAGGAAGAATTTCTTCAGGTCCACCTCTGAACTCAAAGCCTACTTGGCCAACTTCCTAGAACATGCAGGAACGGGGTTGAATTTCACAATTCTTATTTGAGAGACTCGTCATAACGAATTCAAGTACTTTCACTCCATTTGCCGTCTAATGCAAAGCTTCACAGGGCGTTGACAGCGCTCAGGTTTTGTTTGGTGTGGATGAGCTTCAAGTTTCGCTGAGGTTGAAAGGAATGCTCTCACAGAGGATTTTAAGACTTGGATCTTCAAGTAGTGTGAGTGAGCACTAATATACATTTATCCACTATACTCTCAGAGTTCTACACAAACACGGAACATTATTACAATTCACAAGGGCACAATGGGAATGTTTTCTTGAGGGAAGAAGGTCCCTCGGTCCTCTCCACCGGTATTTATTTCTAAGCATGTCCCCTTTGTACGAGATGGGACATTTACCACTTGAAACTCCAGAGCTTGACAATCCTCCTCTTCTTCAAATCCCGACCAATTGAAATGCCTTTCACTTCTCTTGATGAAACTGAAGCTAACTTTGAGTTTAGATAGAGTCCAAATTTGACGAAAGAAAGTGAGTAAAAGCTTTGAAACGCTTTTTCTACAACCAGTAGCACACGAACGAAATACTATCCAAAATACCTCGGCCAAAGCAATCACCAACCTCGGTTGTCCCATCATCAGGGAAAGAAAGCGACCAAATAGATAGAGCAGGTTGGCTTTTGGAATTGTACATTAATTTTAATCAAGGAGAGTCAAAACATGCACAACATCAACACTGGTCAAAGGACTTTTCGGCGCAGATGAGAAATATATATGTGCTACAAATGGAGAGAGAGATATACGTAAGTACATACGTAAAAGGTGGCCGGATGCAAATGAAATGGTGGTTAACGGACATATTGGTTACAGTTAACTCGGTCATTTGGGAAGTTGGTTGCTAATTTATGGACGTAATAGGGAAATCATTGAAGCAGGCCGGGCGCACTCATGTCCTCCACAACACACACACGCCTGCCTGCCTCATAATGTTATCACCATATACTTTCACCCAAATCCCAGCACAAAGAGATTTGCCAACGACAGCGAAATCGGAAATGGTTCTGCTGGTGCGTGGTGCTCCCTATGGTCTCCAACGTCCATTTATTTCTCATCTAAAGAAGCCAAGTCAAGATAGGGCGCTTTGGACGCGTAAATTAAAGTCGTAAAGAGCGAAATAATTGCACTGGCAAATAATGATTTGGCAAGGGAATCGTAAACTTTACAAATTCCAAAGCACCACCACATATGGAGCGGCGAGATGTAATGAAGTCAAAGTAAAGCGACGAGTCCTATGATGCGGGTTGCCTTCCTTTTCCATTTCCCATCATGCCACGTATGTGTGTCGTATGTACGACAAGAACAAGACGAAGACCTGGTTTCAAGTCAAGCTGGTGATCAAAGTAATCGAAACAAGAATAAGGAATGAACTTATTTCTGGATTCTATAAATTCTGCGTTTCAACTTTTATGGTCCTCTCTTCGTGTAGGGAAATCCGGGGTGCTGCTCCTTCTTCTGCTCTTATTTGGAATTCCGCCGACTTGAATTTGACAAAATTGTAAGGATTCGTTTGATGCAAATTTTATGCATGGGCTGACAAATCCCACGATCACAAAGCTTTGAATTTTAATGCAGTCCCGAGCTCAATTTCAAATCAAAATGAACTTATGCAGCAACCTTCTCCTACTTACTTCCTTATTTAAAAAATTATGTACGAGCAGTGAAATTGGCAACCAGTTGTAAGACGAAGAACCCATCCAACATCGTCAATTCAAACTGTGTGACCATTTACCTGCCTCCGTAAGCACTGCTACACTTCCAAGTCACACTGCGCCAATATATCTATCTACATACATATAAGGTACATATGAACATGATGTTTCGCCACAGTCAGTAAAAATGAGGACTTTGCCGTGTCGAATTTCTCTCTATATATTTCATCCAAACTTCATACCCGAAACTTTTTCCCAATCCCAACGGTGACGTTAATCTTAATTTTCTCAAACAAAACTCAAAAAGTCTCGAAAAGAACAAACAAGTAGAAATGAAATGTGGTGAGGGCCAGCCAAGGCAAATGTGAAAGACCTAAATCACTTGGGACTTGTTCTTTGGCTCCACTTGTGCATAATTCCAGACGTCCAGTTCAAGTTTCACAATGCAAACGTGACGATCTATTACTACACCAAGAAAGTGGATATATAACACATCTTGCGTAACATCCGTCGGCTGATAAGGGAATTAGTATTGTTGTCAGACTTGCCAAATCGGACTTGCACAAGTGAACATGGCGTTATAATAGAGGCATCCGGTCTTTGCAAGATATCACACCCACTCCGCTCAGTAAATAAAATGCAACTTGTTTGAAAGTTGTATACGTTTTGCGTGGAGAAAGCAGGAATAAAAGTCACCCTGCGATGGGTTTTATTGAAAATGAAATATAGTGGCCTCGGCATGTCAAACCAAAACTTCTGCTCCCTTATTATATCATTCACCAACTGCCAGACAAGAGTGCAACCTAAATAACTCTCATCTCCCTTGAACCAAAGTCAATTTTTGTCCAATTCACGAAGACGGATTGGATATTATTTGCAGCACATGCAGAATGCTGTGTACATGCAATCTTATTGTATCCACAGGATTCGGATCTTGCCAAAATTGGCATTCACTCACATCCCAATTTCACAAAAAACAAATTCCGTCCCACATGTCCCACAAGAAAGATTGAGCAACGTCGTGCATCAAAGTTTATCCGGCATTATTTGTGTACCTTGTGTAAGAAATGTTGCCATATTTTTAAGGAAGCGATCTGTTCTGTGGTATCATGACAGATTCTGGTATAGTTTCTCGTACTTTTTGAATCAAGTCGATAAAATGGTACTTGTGTACTTTGTGGCGAGTTCGGGCTCTCATTAATGGAGACCATTCCACGCTACATAATTACTAGTCAATAAAACGTGGGTATTAAAAGAGTGTTGGCTCTAATTCAATTGCTCAACTTGTGGCAATGTGTCACAGTAAACAAATAGATATGTACAATATAAATATATTTCTGTACATGTTTTTGCTCACAAACCAAGAGATGTGTATATTGCATGACCACGCGAATTACACACGAGTACATATTTACAATTGATGTCCCGAACTGCATGAAAAGATGAAAGCATGAGAGGAACGAGAAAAAGACCAGAAGACCACCACCACCAACTACCCACAGGACTCTCATGACTTGTTCCGTCTGACTCCACGAGTTCTGCTGTTGCCTAACCACACATTCACAATTCCTTCCTTTCATCTTTCATGTTCCTTCAGTTTGATCCTTCTTGCTTTTCCTTTTCAGCTTAATCAACAACACAACGACTTAGCACTTCACTACCAGAGTCGGGAGCACTACAAGAGGAAGGCCGTCGTACTCAAGCTGCTGCAAAACACCCAGCGGCGAAATCCTTCCTTTCTTTCGGCAGTGTATGTACGTAGTCCTTGTTCCCTAAATTTCCGACACTTTCACTCTTCCCTAACCAAGTTATGCAGGTGGATGTGTCATTACGCCTGCTTAATGTGATGCTCGTCTCACTACATCCGAATCGTTGGTCCTGATCTCAAGATGAGAATTTTTCACATAAAATTCCTAAAAAGTAAGATTATGAATCGTGCCAATGAAAACTGTGGCCAAAATAGGGGGTGAATGTTTCTCTTCTCGTCTCCCGTTGAAAACTGTGTTTTTTCTTGCCTCGAGCCAGAGTAATTTTCGAACAAAGATTGAACTCAAGGAGGAAGAAAACTTTACAAGTACGTGCCAATTGCAGGACCAGTTTGTGTGCAAAAGACGCTGCCTCGACTTCTTGAAGCCCCACAACAATTCCAAATCCTATCAACTCAATCCAATAGACCGCCACGTCTTTAATGGCTTTAATCCGATTTGAACTAATGAAAGATTTGAGCAGGAAAACTTTTTGGTGTTGGTCCCGTAGAAATTTGATCTCCAGGATAAATAAAGGCTTAATTTCATAGTGGAGAAAGAGGAAAGATGTGAAAACTCTGGGGAACTTGACTCGAGAGCTATCTTTGATAATAATGAATGTTCTAAAACCGAACCAATTATGCTCAAGTCTGCCGGTTGGTCGAAACACCTCATTTTTCTGTCTTTACAAACCGCTTGTAATTGAGGGAGACATGGTGATAAAGAACAAAAGCATGCACTTACATTCGTCCAAGTCCTTGGCAGTCACAGTCAACACGGTGTGTTGAATGTCCTCATTTTCATCCACTTCTGCCTCATACAAAGCTTTGTCAAAGTACGGCGGGTTGTCATTCTTGTCCTGTGGGGATCCAGTTAAATCAATAAGAGGATTAGTGTCAAGGGGTCAAAGTTTACAAAAATAAATTCTGAAACAGAATCGTGATGCGATGTACTTACAGCAATTCCAATCCGGATGAATTTTGTTACTGAAATGCAAAAATAAAGTATTGATCAAATTTAATGCACAGATACATAAGTACAAAGTGCATCCCATAAATACATAAATAAGCGTAGCCATGATTTATTTTAGACGCCTTTCAACTCCCATTTCATTAAATTTTGAATAGTGTCTAGAATTATCTCCCTGAAAGTCCATTAGTTCGCGCTCACGATGAAATTTATTTGTTTTGCTACCGTGTAATTTCATTAGCATTGCGCAATTTGATCCTGTGGGTTTGAAGACACGATTTAATTATTGGGATTCATTTCATACGTTGTATACACGCGTCTAGGAGCTGAAGACATGGTTAGAACGTGCCCACACAACAGATCACATGGAAGAATGGAGCCTACCAAATGCAACACGACAACTACATACGAGTCTTATCGCAGACTTCAAATCGCGAAATAAGAGTAGTTGTGTTAGTCGATTGGATGATACGGTAATTGTCATGGCCTAGATGTCGTAGGCCTTCCAACCAACTGTATGGAGCATGAGATGGCTCTATTTAAAGTAGCAAAGAGCACGTTACTGTCGTCGGTCGGTTGGTGTTATTGGTTCCGTACACTCGCTGGTCTGAGCATTGAGCAATGGAAAAGATTTTGTCAGAACACAAAGTCGAGCATGTTCAGAATACGAAATCTGGAACCTCGCCATTCACGTCTTTGTGGTTTGGTTAGATTGTCCATCGACTTGGTGAACAGGACAGATCCGTTCATATCATTATTGCTGCAACCAACTGCAGAAGAAGACCTCACTCCACCTAAATAATGCTCGTCTTGGTTGCAATAAAGTCAACTGTGGCTCAGCATCGGCACATATTTCTGTGTGCACATATGCGTATAGGCAAAAGTTTGTGGGACTGGATTATGGAAAACACTTGGCCATGTGAAGTAAGCCACGAGCAAGTGGCAATCCCTACAGCTCGTCGAGTGGTCTCTATGAATGTACCTTTGATTGAATGGTTCTGTTTCGAAATTGAGTATTCCGAGCATATCTTTAGAACGCCTCTCTCCAGTCTCTACTTAAGTTATTGGTTCTAAACGCCCTGGATGACCATGCCGACGATTGTGTCTTTAAGATTGGGTTCGACGTTCTCTGAATGCGAAATCTCAGAAATTGCATCCATCTGATTGGATTGTCTAATACCTACTTCCCCTCCAATGCTTATAAAAGTTGTATAAAATCACGAAAAAGATGAAGATTATGCTATTAATTATTCCCGAATGTTTACTTACTGTGCAATTATCACAAGTAAATTTGATGCAAAAGTAATAAGCACGGTAAATCCAAACAGTTATCGAACCACACCATAAAACCACTTTTCAGAAGAGTTGAATAATTTGGCTTTGGTTTTCAACTTTATTATGCAGTTAATTATACAATTAAAGTCTCAACTATTGCGACTGGCAGAGAAATTGAGACTGCGAAGAAGGAACGAGAGCTTTCACCCACCAACTTTCACCAGCAGGAGCACCACCGTCTCACACTGCCCACAAGTACGGACTGACTCGTGGAGTGTGGCTTGGACATTTTCTCTCTGCCTGAAGTGGTGACGCTGCTGTTGAGTGACTCCAAGATCCACTCTCACAGCTTCCATGCGCCCACACCGCTACGCTGCCCGACTCCACTTTCTCTTTTGCCAAAATTGAAAATTAATTTTCTCAATGGAAAGCACAACAAAAACTGAACCTTTTTTGCCTATTTTGTTGTGGAACCAGCTCAACTGCACTCGTGGTGATAATGAATTAACATGTCTGCTGTAGCACATTTTGAAGTGGAACTTTCTCCCTCATCACGAGTGGGGCGGAGATATTTTAATTTGTCATCACCTCAGTCGCAGGTATTAAACATGTCAATATCACGTACCTGGGAATTGTACAGGATGTGGATTAAATTGTAATTCACATTCGTCAAGTGGTGAGAGGAGTGGGTGGTAAATTCCTCGTAAATGCTCGTAAATTCATAAATTCTCTTTGTGCATGAGGATCATGTTTTTAGCATAAATCGTTCAGCTTTAATTTCCTACTCGTTTTGAGGACGAACCAGAGCTAAACCACTCTTTTGAAGTCGACATGATTTATAGCCAACTGCGGAATACGTGTATACACTAACTTTTGAGAAGTGATGTCCTCCATGTATTTAAAGGAGTGTAAAGTAGATTATCAATATCAACTTTTGTATGGAGCTGATTCTAAGTATATTGTGGTTTTTCTCTCTGTCCCCCCATTCACGACAGCGCATAATATGCGATTGGGTTACATAAATACGTCAAAACTATTGGAGCTGAATTTGAGTCAGTGTTATGATTTCTGAACTTGTCACACCTACACAGATTACAACACTGCAAATCTGAAGAGTGGTCGATGGCCTTACGTACATTTACAAATATTGGGTTATGTAACTTCTCAACAAATATGGCTTTTTTCAATCAGGTAGACTTTCAATCAGAGACCGTTTTTAAGATGCAATAATAGTAAAATAAAATAAGCGTCTGGGGAAAACCTGTACCCGTTCGTTACTGTCACCAGTGTCAAATGGATAAATTGAGGGAAAGTTTTCCTACGATTCAGTGGGTAGTTCGTCTTCATTTGAGCCGCTTCTCTCGAAAGGAGCGATAATCCCATTATTTCTTAAAACTTTCATTAAAACAATTTTTGGGAGAACCACCGCCGCCATCACTCAGATGTGCAGTGATGAGTTATATAGTCTTCCCGTCACCTGCCTGTTATTCATAACTAACTAGTGTAAGACTTTCTAAAAACTATTAAATTGAATTCCCAGGAGACCTCGGCGGATTAGGGTGAGGGAAAGTTGAGAGGTTTTCGCCTTATCACCTCACTCACTCAGTTTTTGCTCTTTTAAATTGTAAATTTCCAACCATCCACGAGCAGAGGCTGGATGCTTACATGATGAGAAATGAGATTTAAATATTAAAATAATAAAACTTGGAAAACATGCTCCAACTTTGAAGTCAATGTTGACGGGGATATAAATCTAGTAGCTCGCCAACTTCATTTACCAGCTAAATTCATGAAGCTCTCGTTAATGTCTTTTACGTAGTACTCTGCTACCAAAGGGAGAAAGTACAGGTCCCCAAAGTCTAAGGAGTTGGCTGGACCTTATCTTGGACAACGGGGTAGATTATGACTGTTACTAGATACGATTAGATCCTACACGTAGTTTGCAGCTCAGTTATTATTAAGGTTGATGATGATGGTGATGATTTGTATGAAAATCTGGGCGAAAATCTTACCAGTGTTTGGTTGCCCATTACTGTTGGGTCGAGCGGAAGGAGCACTGTCTCTCGCTTCAATGGCTGAAAACCAATAAGAATTCTTCGTTGATCTACACGTTGCTAATACTTAAATACACGAGATGGATGGCCTTACCCAAAGCGTACGCTGCCTGCTTTTCACGATCAAACACGATTTTGGTGAATATTTCCCCCGTGAATTCATTGATTTCAAAGTAATCTTTCCCCTCCGAGTTGGCGATGTAATATTTCACCTGTTGGGAACGAAAACCAACGTGAGAATACGAGCATCGTATGACCCCGATCATTTCCAATCATCTTCAGAATGCATACATATGTACATGGACGTGTAGAAGTACACGAGTAAATATGCACGTGCGACTAACGAAGCGTCAAGAGTGAAAATCGTTTCGAATTACCAGATTATTGGGAGCAGTGCCATCCTTGTCGATTGCGTTTACTTGGCTGACTCTCGTCCCAATGTTCTCCCCCTCAGCTACTGTCTCCTGTTCTCGCTCCGTGAACAAAGGTATTTCATCATTCACGTCTTCCAAAATGATGTAAATTGTCGCCTATTATTAAAATGTATTATATAATCGTCCATTTGATCCTCTGCTCAATGTACTGTAACGTTGGATTAGTACCTCAGACGCGAGTTGCTGAGCTCCATTGTTCTGAAATTTGACAAACAAAGCCACGCTCAGTCATCATCATCAATATAATAATAACGATCAAAATTCCATTGTTTGGATGGAAAATAACTCCACTACGAGAAAGAGTAGCGTATCATTAGTATCATACAGAGCACGGAATACTACAAAACGTATTGTTGTTCGAAGAGAACTTTCACGTGAAAACCGAGGCATGTGAGTAGCTCAATTATTTTTGCTTATGGTTTACGAAACAGGGAAAAATAAATCATGGGATACGTACCTCCACACGAATTGTAAGATTATACTCTTTGTTCGTCTCGTAGTCTAATGGATGATTGACCTTTATGTCGGCTGAAAAAGTAAAACCAAGTAGTTAGTAATCAGCACAGATCGGACATTTATTTATTTATCCTACCCCACTCGTGTTGAGCCACAACTGATTACTAATCAGTTGACGTGTGTTGTATGGATATGCCCTACATATTCCACACCATCCAAGAAACAATTGCCGGGTTCTCTTTTGTCTTTGTGTTTGAACAAATGGTTCAAACAACTTTTTGTACTATTATTTGTATTATTAAAGAAAATAATACTTAAAATGGATCCATCCACCCCCACCTCTAGTAAAATGACCCATGTTGGGTCACCATCCCCCTCACCACCAAGTAATAAGAGGATAAAATGGCAAAGTGAAAGTGAGTTAAAGAATGGATGTACGATTCTTATGACCGGTATGTTTTGTACATTGCTTATGAAATTATGTAATATCATTGGGCGTACTCACGACAACTTCTTATTTCGCATCGCAACTCATTTAGCAAACTTGCGAAGATCAAAATATTTCTGTCGTGAGGGGATTCGCAAAATATGACTTCGCAAAACTCCCTTATCTCGCAAATCTACAGAAAAACACCTATTTTGGTATTGTTTCCATGGATTTCTGTAATTTCTCTTGCAGAATTACTTTGCGAAATAATTTTGCGAAATAAGGACATGCTCAATTGCTGGGTAAATTTGCGAAAAAAAATCCCATGGTTTTCCAGCAAATTTTTTGCGAAATCTCGCATATCTCGCAAAACTTCGCAAGTTAGGTTGCTATGCTCAATTTGCGAGATATGCGACATATGCGAAGGTTGACGTGAGTACGCTCATTATTGAATAGGGCTTATTTTTTGTGTATTTATGTAAATTTCCCACTGATAATCATTATTGTTTGAACAGGTCCAGCGAAGTCAGGAAAGACCACCATTTCTAATTCCCTTACTAAAATGCTCAAATCCAACGGGATTTTAGTGAAACAAATAGATGGAAAGTACTTGAGGGCCGGTCCCTGCAAAAATCTGGATTTTAACGAAGAGAAGGATCGGTCGGAATTTGTTCGTTTGGCTTCAGAACTTGCCAAAACATTCACGGAAGAGGGATTCGTGTCCATCATTTCCATTGTGGCTCCATTACATGAGGTGAGATATGAAATAATGCAATATTGCATGATTAGGTTGCTAATTTTATGCATATTTGTAGGACAGACAGAAAGCCAGGGATTCTCATGAGCAAGACGGACTGAAGTTTGTAGATGTCTTTGTGGATAGGTCAAGAGCGGAATGTGATGCAGAAACTGGCCTGAGAAGAAATGGTAAAACTTTGGATCATGCATAACAGTGGATTTTGACTCATTTTGAGTTTATTTTGTTTGTGTAGTAATAAACCCTATTGATGCGGACTACGAACCTCCCACAAATCCAGATGTTCATCTCAAACGGATTGGAAACAACGTGGATGAATTGACGAGACAACTTACTTCGAGATTAGTTGGATATGTGAGTAAATAGTGATGGAACGCGCAACTGAATGAAGTATTATTAATCATTATATGTTTATCGTTTAGAAAATTGTTCAACCGCTGTTCGCTCAACCTCAGTCGCCGTTTTCTCCATCCATTTCTTCACCCAGATCAACAGTTCCTTCTCCCTTTACAGCAACACCTTCGCCCTCCTCAACGATATATTCGTCTGATTCGGATTTGGGTGCTGGAGACTTGGACGAAGAAGGGGATAGCGTCCCAAAATTCAAACTACCAAGAAAGAGTGATATCCGAACAATATTCGACTATGTAAAAAGTGTTCTTGTTCAAAGAGGTTTTGTTGGAAAGGATGAAGAAATTGACAAACATCCATTATTTTTTGTGGAGGAATGGACGACTCACTATGAGACTCATAAAGCAGGAATGGAAAAATTTTTCCCTGTCAAACTTCCTATATCAACTCGGAGCAGATCAGTGACACCCACAACAACCCCAACCAAAGGTGCTAAGACTCCAACCAAAGGTGCGAAAACCCCTCAAAAACACGACGTTAAGAGCCCTGAAAAGAACGAGTGGGAAGGATGCATCCCTTTATATTGGGATGGATCAACGCTGTGTTACGGCGGTTTTCGAAAGGGCTTCCCTCACTTCCAAAAATGCAAGCACTGTTGGTCTAATTCACAATCTCAGGGCAGTTTGTGTGGTAACCATTCAACAACCCGATTCAAACATCTCGCCGTTCTGCATGACGCTAATGAGTGGACCACTTGTACTCATGCTACGTTATTTTATCAAGGTGTACATAAAAAAGTATGGACGCCAGACCTGGTTAACAAATCTGGTTGCAACATAATCCTCGTACAAAAATACTTATCTGATCATCCTAACGCACAATTCACTCCTATTTATGAAAAATCTTTTCTACTCTCCTCCCCGGAACGACTTACTGTCACGCATTCTATCACAGTGAGTTGCATATTTAGTTGTCTAAAAAATTAATAACAAATGGATTTTTATTTGCAGTTGTCAATTTCGCTCATCACACTGTTCAGAAACATGGAAAACATCGAGTCTGACGCCCCCATCAAACCACATTCGTTCCTTCATAAACAGTTGTACATGGACAACGCTAATTTGGCAGCGGTGGAAAAGATTTTGGAAGGGAATGGAGTGACTTTCACCGTGGGAAATGATGATGATGATAGCAGTTCCTCGTTAATCAACAAAGATCGATATTGCTCAAAACTGCCTAGAATCTATTGTGGAGTTGAACCCAACAACAAAGTAAATGTTGGATTGAAAACGTCCAGGGTTGGGGAGGAGGATCATTCTGTTTACACCCAGTTAGTTTACATACGTGTACCAAAGGGAGGGCGGCCTGGTGGATACGAATTTGACCTTGAATAACCCCGGAACGGTTTGTCGTAGCGGGTCAAAATTTTGAACAGACGAGCATGTTATCCTCAGATAGTTGTGTGCAAAATTTCAGCCTTCTACTTTGAAAAATGCCTGCCCCACAGCCCCCAGAAGCTGAGACAGTCATTTCAAATAGTTCCAGAAAAAATCTCGCCCGTGTTTGCAAAAAATTGTATTTGAATATTCTGTTGAGGAATAGAAGTGAGCTATTGGTGACAATTGACGAAGAACTATTTTCCCTACAAGTTACTAATTGGGTTCGTAGAGCTTACTACACGACAAATGCCGAAAAAAAATTCAAGAAATTTGGTGCTTTTCAGTGAGGAGAACTTTTTTAAACAGTTGATGGTCGTGGGTGCAATGTCCTGTCGTGGTGTCCTCCCACTTATCAAAGTCCCCCAAAAAGTGAAGGAATCTTCGAAGTATTATGTGGACCTTGTACTGAAACCACTTTTAGAATACAATTTTCCTAATTTGCACGGTAAAATAATAATTAAGGTGATTTTTCATCATGACGGAGCGTCCTCCCAGACGGCAAAGTTGACCCAAGATTATGCAAATGACCTTGAACCTAGATTGGGGATAAAAATCATTTGGAATAGTGAAATACCTATACAATCCCCTGATATAAGTCAAATCGACTTGTTTGAGTTCGAATAGATGAAAAGAAAATCTTTCTGTGGGGACCGAATTTTTTAGACGGAGTTTGGAAAAAGTTGAAACGAGTGTCTCAACTTCTGGGGGCTGTGGGGGAGGCATTTTTGAAAGTAGAGAGTTGAATTTTTGCACACAACTATCTGAGGATAACATGCTCTTCTGTTCAAAATTTTGACCCGCTACGACAAACCGTTCCGGGGTTATTCAAGGCCAAATTCGTATCCACCAGGCTGCCCTCCCTTTAGTATGTTTAAATTTTATCATACTAAGTTTCTTGTTTTTTTTAATGCAGTAGTGACCAGTTCAAATCAGGGCCCATCTACCAAACCCCCCTGTTGGATGAGCAGCTAGCGATTGCAAACAACATTGACACATCCAAATCTTTTAAGCAGTGGACGGATCAGCAGAAGGATGTGTTCGATTTGGTGAAAAAAGATTGCACAAGGAAGGAGGGATTGGGTCATGCAGCTCTTGTTCTTGCAGAAATGAAGGGCCAATCCTACAATGGCATCCTCATTCAAAGGGACAATAAGAAATACGAGAATGTACATACTATTGAAAGAGGGGACAGAGTTTTTGTACAGTCAGTTTTTAAGCTTTTAACAGGAAGATCCCTTATTGTTTCAGTCGAGCATACCGATAATATGAGTTTCAACGATGAGATATAAATAAAGGCATTATATTCATTTGCTTTCATATGCCACTCAAACATGCGGAAGAAAGTTTTATCTTACGAACTCCTGGCTTACCCCACGTGAATCCGCTATCTTGTCGTTGTTGTAGATAAAACGTATCATATTTGTTGGTTTGAGCTGTGGATCTACGTTTTGGAAATTGGATACATAATTAATTAATGAATACAGTGTATTTGATGCAAGGTATTTAATTGCGTAAAAACTTACCCACGTATCAATCGGTAAAATACGACAGGGTTTCCTTCTATACCGGAGCTGCAGGTTCATTATTACTCAAATTAGTATCAACCTTTTGCATACGATCAGAGTCAAAGAAATGAATATGTAAAGAAGATAAATCAAGAAAGTAGAAAAATGAAGAAATGAAAAAATCGGGAGGCATTCTGTCCGTCTCGAGTTCAACATGTTCCCGCAGAGGAATTGTTGATCTAGCGTTATCACCAAAGAAGGGACGAAGACAAAACGGACAAAGGCATTCAGTTTCAACAACAACAACTACGGGACAAAAACTCTCATTCATTTCCATCGCATTTTGTACACACGTTCATCACTAATTCTAATTGGCCAGCAATTGGAATAAAGTCCACGGTGCGGGTAGCTTCTCAACTACCACGGTGGAATAAAAAACGCCAATTGCATGACCACAAAAACTAGTTCGTAGAACGAACTTCAAAATTTGTATAATAATCTCCAAAAAAATCGGAGATTGTCAAATGTTCCCCTCTCAAAAAACCCGAACCCATGCACTGTCATCCACTATGACAAATCAAAACTTGGCAGAGACAAGTCTTTCAAAAATACGTTAGACACTAAACTACGACTATACATTTGTATACATACGTATCTCTATTGTTGTAATGATGCAATCATGCAGCTCCTAAAAATACTTTCTAATTAAAAATATTCAAGCATGACCCATAACACTAAAATGTAGATAGACCAGACACTGTACACTACTGGACTACAAACTAGGCAAAAGTGGACAAAACACATTCACGTGAAAAATGTATCAGTAAGTTTACACTTATCACAAGATGACTCGCCTACTAATATCTAAAATAAGAAGTATCTGAAGCTCCAAAATCCAAAAATTTTCAGATGTTGGCATCAAAAATTATCATTGGCTACAAAAATCAGCCTAGAATCTAGTGTATATTACAACTTACAAAAATCTAATTATACAAAAACGAGTTTCACTAAAACTATTGTATGTCGTGCCATCACGAGTCGACAAAAACAGCAAAATTATTAGATGACATTGTTATTCATCAAAAAATGTAGTGAAAAATATGATGCGCTTGCTTTCGTTGAGCATCGCAAGACCCTTCACAAGAGCAAGATAAGTAAGATTCACTCAGCCACGAGCACGGCAAACAATGTCCAGTAGACAAACACAAAGAAACATAAAAACATGTCGGTAATCAATAAGTGCGATTGTCCAGCGTAAATCAGTCGTCGTCAGTTATGTACACATGTAAGGAAAGCATAGAGAGAAAGTTGTCTGAAACGCCGTGATGACGAATCTTGTGAAGACGATGATGGTGACCGACCTGGCTTTCACTGATATGACCTTAGCCCCCACTGGCATGTTTTCTTTAACGTGCACTGGGCCGTAGACGACTTGATCCCATACCGGAGGCTTCATAATTTATATAAACAACGAAAAGGTTCATTAATAACTTATTTATGTAAACTTTGGCGTAGAGCCTATGAACCCTTACTTTTGGAAATAGATTTACTACGCCCTACATTCTAAGTAGTTAGCAAAAAATAGTTCAAATTCCAAAAGTAAGTCCAAAAGGTAACATTTTCTACACGTCCACGGTCAAAAAATTGACAGGCACTCTCAAAAATTATGTGATGGCTTCTGTCGTTGTGAACTCTACGGAAAATGAAATCTGATTCTGAAGAAATTGGTAATTCTGTGAGACCTGGTTCTGTCGATCGACGACATCGATTTGTACTTCGACCGTCCGAGAGAGAGGTGGGAAGCCTTTATCCACGGCGACCGCTTCAAGCCGGTACGTTTCTCGCTATACGGGTCAGCGATACAACATTGCCTCAATCAATTAATTATCACACATACCCGCTAATCGTAACGTACAATAAGTTCTTATCAACCAAAATATAAATATTATTATTCTAACAACAGGTATATTTATCAAACAAGAGTTCGTATCGCTATCATATAACTTTGCTTGCTTGCTCCATTGATATTAGGCTTATACTTATGTAACATACAGAGGTGCAGGTGCATTTCACGATGTGTCGACTATTTGTGTGCTCAAGCTATAAACTTAATTTGACAGGTGCATCAATGCTTTTACCCTACAGTTGGCAATTGTGGTGTGAAGTGTATGGTGTGGTACCGTGATGGTGGTGCAGATATACTAAAGATGTGTGTGAGTAATTACCCAACAGCGACAATTAAGATTACCAACATTACTTGGAGAATGGCATGAATTAAACGTCACGTGAAAACAGTGCATCGGCGGAATGAGCGTTGATATTTTGTACCACTCAATTGGCAACTACTGTAAGTATGTCAATACATGTTTCCCAACGAAGATTTTTTTAAACGACGTGGAGGACACTATGTACAAATGAGGATTTGTACACAACTCGTGACAGTGAAGGGACAGATTTGGACAGGACTTGTGAGGTAAGAGTGGCGAGAGAAGGGGTGTGGCAGCTGAGGAGGTGAAGGCATATTAGCACCAAGTACGGTGGGACCAAGTACGACAAACATTACCTAGCTTTGACAGAGGTCACAACAGTACCAACAGTGACATTTTCTCGAACAAAAATTTGTCCATATGTGGGCGCGTCCCATACAGGAGGTTTATTATTTCTATCCTAAAAACATGTGGGGGTTATAAACATGGCTCACTCAGGAAATGGCACACATAAATGATGTTCAAAAATGTATTTCATCATTTTATGCCCGTTTTTGGGACAAGTTTCGACTCACCACGACGTCAAGCTCCACGTCCACCACGGCATAAAGCGGTTCCTCTCCCTTGTCTGACGCTTGGACTTGAAGTCTGTACTTTTCGCGCTAATCAAAATCCCGTGAAAAAGGTCATTTCAAAAATATCCATTTCCAAAATTCAAAAACAATGGTCGTCGATTGCGAATTTCAAGATCAACTTGATCAACTCGTCAAGTTTTACAAAATTTCTCAACTATGTAACACTGATAAGAACATACATACATACACAACTACAGAAGTAAATACTCGACTAATATATGTTCCACATTCCACATTCTCCTCAAAACTTGAACAATAATATTTACTATTCTCGTCACTACTAGATTTGTATGACGAGGAAAATCTAGTGTCAAAATCTGACTGTAGCTTCAAAAATTGAGGTTGCTATTATTAGTATTACTATCATTTCATTGATGCATATCGAGTTATAAAGCGTCTCAAGATTAAAAATTGCAATGCAACAAGCAATGACCCCATCATCAAAAAATTGAGTTGATGGGCAATCCATACTAAACAGAATGGTGATAAATACAACATCCAAGCGACATTTAAAGCAACAAGCAACGAAAATGTTAACAGGGTGATCATACAACACTTAATCAATTGATAGAATCTTACATGAAGCCACGCCTTTGATTCGAAGTCATCCAAAAGAGTAAAGCAACAAGACATGTGTATTTAGAGTCCCAGCAGCGCCATCGAACCATCAAGAGAATTGCATCCCGATCCCAACGATTCGGTTAGCAGAACGACCAAAGAAACAATTGAAAAAGCAGATAAAGCTCGAGAACACATTCCAGCAAATCACCTCGTCACACAACTATTTATTAAGAACAATTAAGAGCAAATGCCAATAATAATATCTAAACTTTTATGAAGTTCATGCGAGTTACGAGTTCTATTTATTAACAAGTAGTTTATACGCATGCTATTCACTAACCAACTAGTTTAAGGTGTTATTGGGCTAGAAGAAACTTCATGCTTTGCATTCTTCACACCACTTTTCAAGAGAAAGAGACATTCCATATGACACAGATTATTAGTTACCTTCGACAACAAATTTTTTTCTCCAGCAATATTAGTTTTGCTTGGGTATTAAGTAAGATGGGGTTGGGAGGGTGAAGTTGGATGTATAATTGCAAAGTCAAATGAGTGACCTCAATGAATATAAAATAGGTGTCACAGCAGACCATATTTTTTTAGAGTATCAATCGACACGGTGATTGTAGTTGTGCAGATTTGTGCTGAAAATGTGATTTAATAATAAATGAGTCTATAGCTGTGCATTGTACTAATAAGCGAATGGCGTAAGTACTGAACAAGATGGATGCATTTTCTCCAAGAAGTTAATAGCACCTGATTTCCACGTTAAATGTAACCCGTTAAAGGTATGAGATACATATTTAGATAACCCAGCACCTCGTAGGATAAAGACAAGGAATGTAAAGCCAGTAAATGTCTTCTGCCTACACGCTCATGTCGCCACCACCACTAATTTCATTTCACTATGTACCCGAGTGTAAATTATCCTAGATAAACCTCAGCTATTGACATGTCTATTTTTAAACTTATGTCAAAGAACATTGTGAAGACGCTTACGTCGAGCGGCTTTTTAAGTATGATCCATCCGGACTCTTGTTGAATTTCAAAGTACTCCAGATCAGAGGGGTTGGATGGTGCGGACAATGAGTACACGATGGCACCTGGAAAAGGTCGTTTCAAACGTGATTTCAATTTTATTTTTACTCATGACTTGAGAAATGGCCAGTAAAAAATAAATAATGAATCGTACCGTTGTTGTCTGCATCTTCATCGGAAGCAGAGACTCGGAGAATGTTGCTCATAACTCTGGAAAAATTACGAAAAAATCAAAATTCATATACATGGAAGTGTATTATTGTACACTATTATAAACATGGTATAAATATACATATTAGGTACATACCCGGTGTCCTGTTTTACATTTTCAATATACTTTTGTCTGTCGAAAAGTGGGGGATTGTCTGCAAAGCAATTTTTCATGTGAATAGTTCATTGAAGATGTACATATTTATTAAATAATTTTCATACCGTTGACATCTTCGATTTCGACAGTGAATGAGCAGACACCTTCCAAAGGCGGATCTCCATGATCCGTGGCTTTTACTGTCACCGAGACAAATTTTCCATCGTCCCCTTCACGATCAAATACCTAGCGGAGAATTTCATACGTAACAACGTTAGTAGACGAATAATCTGAGCCGTATATTTAGAGCATTGCACAGCCATCTTGCTCACCTTGTTGGTGAAAACTTCTCCGGTTTCTTCATTCACGGTGAATTTGACTCCTTTCTGATTTGGTTGTCGTACGATGGAATATTTTACTTGGCCGTTGACTCCTTTGTCCTCGTCGGTCGCATGGACTTTCACCACTGGCGTCCCATTGGGTGCACCTTCCATCACTTTTGGAGCATAATGTGAACATTCTTGAAACATTGGTCGCTATAAAAAACCAAATGAGCACAATTATAGATTACATATTGGATCGTATTCTGACAATTTTTATTTGCGCAAGGTCCAACCAACCTTGTCGTTGACATCGGTAATGAAAACCTATATGAAATTTAAAACAAGTTTAAACCGTGAAATATTAAACGACGATGTATAAATAGTTCTCTGCTGTCGAATTTTGACATACCACAACGACCGCTGTGGAAGTGTGGACTGAGAGATGGCCTCCTTCACAACAAGACCCATCGTCAACTGCGGTCACATTCAGTTCGTACTTATCTCGGTCCAAATCAATTGCTCCAGAGTGGAGACGGATGACACCCGTGTAATCTTCAATCACAAATTGTCCAGACTTTGTTCCGCTTCCAACAAATCCGAACCTGGATTGCGCACAAAAAAAGTATGAATATAAGCATGACATTATTATCATCTTTCGCTGACAAGAGTCAGTAGTTTGTATACCGGACGTTGTCACCATCTTTGTCAGAGGCAACCACAGTTGTAACAAGTGTTTCCGGTCCAGCATTCTCATCAACATTGGGAGTGTAAACTTGCTGAGAAAACTTTGGTTCTGTTGGTCATTAGAATGAGAAATTATTAGTACTTCATGTGCACAAATTTAAATAATAATTCAGATTTCATACCTTCGTCGTTTTTGTTTTTTGTGTAGATGCGTACAGTTGCGGTTCCAGTGGCTGGTGGATCTCCTAAACATCAAAATAATCATCACAAATGTAATTACATAACTGTTTATTTAAATCGAACCATATAAATCGCATTAATTTAAAATTTAGCTAGTCAATCCACTCGCCTTTATCTCGAGCTGTGACAACAAACTCGTAATATGCATTGTTATTATCTGCATCGAGTTGTTTGCTGTTGCGGATGACACCGTTCGTATCCACGCTAAAATGATCGTCCGAAACGAGATATTCTATCTCCGCGTTAGATCCCGAGTCTGCATCCGTAGCTTTCACTTTCAAAATTGAAGTTTCCAGTGCTATATCTTCGTCCACATTATGAGCTTGATAATCCGGGAGTTCGAATTTCGGGCTGTAACAGAGCAGGAGAAAAATGTACACGTGATTACATTGCAAAATTATGAGAACAAGATAAAAACCGTGAGCCGTGACTCTATTTTCGATATATTAATCACTATAAAGGTCAAAAGCCGTACCTTTGATCATTCACATCGGTAACGCGAATCGTCAACTGTTTACATAAGACAAGAATAAATAAATATTTCAAACGTTGGATTTATTATGATTTATGCTTACGAACCTCAACCGTGGTAGAGAAACCACCCGAGTCCTGAAATTTGTAATTTGAATATACACTTTGTTATATCGCCAATTTCCGAGGAAAATTATGTGCATTGTGTTTCATATAAAGTTACACCAACCTCGGTGGCAGTGACGATGAGTTGGTAGACATGAGGTTGTCGGAGATCTTCAAAGTCCAATTCTTTGGCTAGTTTGACAATTCCCGTGCTGGGGGCGATGTTAAAAGTTCCAGCTCCCTGATGTCCTTGAGCTTTCAAAGTGTACCGTATCTCACGGTCAGCAAACGACTTTGCTTTCACCGAGATGATGCTGTAAAAATTCAACAAAAAGTCTTATTTAAGTGAAAGCAACTTTCTCCGCATCGCATTTTCTTTTATTGATTTGAAGATGTTTTGATTGTGCAGCTTTGAACGACAGTTTTGAAATGAAATAGGTTGTAACAGATTGAAATCATCGAAATGTATTGAAAGGAAAACTTTTCTCATTTGCTGACAAAAAGTCATTTTGCTTTTCCTGAGTTCTGCTCGATCACTTTGAAAACAGGGTCTCAATTCCCGACAACTCATCATAAATGAGCTGTCTAAATGTATCATCTTGGAAAGTAGACATCATTTGATTAAAAGTAAAATCAATTACGCTAACAATCGACATGAAATCATCACAACTTGTTAACTTTCTTGTTGATGAAAAGAATTTAGATTGTGTTGACATACTGATTCAACGAATAATTCATTATTTATTTACCCTAACATCGTAAAGATATAACATTTTAGATTTGAAATCAGACCATCAAAATAATTGAGATGCTCTTGTATGCAATATGCTTATATGATCCACCGTCGTGCATGTCTACCAGCACCTTCAGCACGCGATGAAACCACAAAACCATATAATATCCACAACCTGGGAGGGTAATTGGTAAGGAAATCTACGGAGCTAATGAGGAGGGTGGAACATTTTCTGGTTTAGACTTTTCGTTCAATCTTCGTCAAGCTATCACTCGACAGTGATGATTGACTAGGTGGCTCCAGAGGGAACCATTTTTCATAGCCAAAAGTGGCAACGACAAGAAATAAGTTTAATAAATTTAGTATCGTGTAAAATTTACTTTTTGCAAAGTCGATGCTAGGAATATGAAATCCGAGGGAAGGATATTCACGCTGGCGTTAAAATTTCACCACGTGATGCAGCTAAGACTTACATAAACGCAAGGTTATGATCTTTACCACACAAATTACTCTAGTTCGTGTTTCAGCAATTTTAAAAACGTAAATTAAATTTTTCAAAAAACAATTTGCATTCGAATTATACGAGATTCAAAAGTGCTGCACAAATCCATTTTTGAAACCAAAATTCCAACTCCATGAAAGCATCAATCAGAGTCACTTTACAACGCCCATTTTTGGAGAGTCTTATCCACAAAGCAATGCATTAGCTGGCTAATTCTACTTCTGCTTCACGCTTCTCATCCCTTAAAATTAGGGATAAAAAATCCTGCAACGAATCCTTTGGGTGCTCACGCTGACTGTTGCAACTACTAATTTGAAACTCTAAACAACTATCTCGTTAAGTGCAGCCATGAAATGGAATCTTGAAATCTCTCAAGGCAGGTACCATTATGCAGCAGATGATACCATCTTCTCCAGAAAACAAACAAAATCAAGATGCTAAAAAGGGCAGAATGATACATTATTTTACGTCGGGTGATTTTAAAAAATTGCTCTGAAGCCAAGAAATTTCATCAACACGATAAACACACCTTCATTGCTTCCTTATTTAACGCTGAATAAAACAGCGCAATATGAATAACGAGCATTATTTTAATCAAGGGATCTTTCGACATTTTCCTGTTAAACTGATGAACTATAACATTGACTAACGAGTGAGCTATAAACGCACCTTATGAGGACAAGATTATAGCGAATGAAGCGGAATGAGCCTCAATTTAGCGTAACGCCGTATGGACTTGGCTGGCTAAATATCGTGACATGCATCGCATTATTTTGCCATTTGCTTATACAATGTTCCCAACCAACACACACAAACACAGATCTGGGACTGGTGTCTCCACATTGTGGCACCTTATCCGCCAACCTCATAATCATCATCCATCTTCCCTGACACTTGAATAGCAGGCTAATATTTCTGAACGCCCGACCCCGCACAGACAGTGTCGTGCCGCGTCTCACCTCCTTCCATCCCGGTTTATGCAATTCATCCCACGATCTCATCTCATCTGTCATATCACATTTCAAATTATCGTTATTACCCACATTGGAACATACTGAACCGTGACCATGTTTCTCCAGGAAATACTAAACCTCACCGAATAGGGGAGACAGGTACACATGAAGAAGAAGCTCAAAGTCCGTGAATAATCCAATCTTTCTGTATTCAACCAATTAAATCAGCATAAACTCATATATTCCATCGTGTGCATTACCAGTAAATATGTACTTGTTACGCTGTGGTACGCACTTTTCCTTTCCAGTTGAATCTACAGTGTCTCATCGCGTCATGTTTAACATTTTCCGACTCCATTCCACACGTCATCGTCCACTCTCATCATGAGTTACAATTTCTTCTGCACATTTGATATGAACGTACCTTTTTGTGTGTTGCAGCAAAGCTATTGAATTTATTTACTTCAAAGCATTGACAATCATGCTACATCAATAACGACTAATGGCTAGGAATTTGCGTTGTAATTCTTAGGTCCCAACGCGATCAGACGTGATCCATCATGGCGGAAAATACATTACTTTTCTACTCTGCTGCCACCAGGATAAGTGTGGAGACGAGGTGCGCTAAATTATTAATGACCACGACCTGTGGGAAGGTACGTACGGCAGAGAAAAGCCACCACATAGCCATTTTAAATATTGATATGCCCCACTTCAGCGACACAAAAGCTACACTTTCCCACAAAGTCGCTCTCTCTCTGAATGTAAACAAGTTCGGAATTTTGGCATGGGGCTGTCAGAGTAATGTCGTGCGGTCTATCTGGTCACAGACCAATTCTGCTCTTGGCCAAGTCAGTGCTTATTATGGGAACTCGCCCACAAGTTCACTTTGCCACTGTCGAACCAAGAAATGAAAATTGTGGAGTTCGGAGCTGAGAGAAAACATTCACATAGTTTCAACATTCCGCCGACTTGTACGCATGTATAACGGATGATCATTTTTTCTGAAATCCATGACAGGCAAATGTGTCTATTCTGACTACATCGAAAGGGCGGAATACGAAAATGTTGTGTATGTTTGTTTCGTCACGGGAGAAAATGTAACCATCATAAAAATCACATTGAAATCCTGCTTATATTTCTGCGTAATGTATATGTAGTTATGCCTCAATTCCGTCAACTGAAAGGTGAAAGCATGATAGTCCAATATGTACAAATTCAAAGTCGAAGGGCGCATTATTTCACTAACTGTAAAACTGTTTTAAACCTTTTATTTCAACCCCATTTTTACAATCCTAAATAGTGAATTTGTGTTTCAATACAAGTTTCAGTTTCAATGTATGCTACAAGGTTTAACTTATCACAGAGTTTTTCTGAAGAACTTCCTTTTCAGGGTACAAACTGTGAAACCAGTTAAATATGCAAAAGCTGTTGGAAGTGGATATATTTCCAAGTTGGGAAAGTTTTCATTTAGTTAATAACATCGACAGTCAGTAACAGAGAGTGCATTTACTTATCGCATTTTTTATCTTGATCTGTTTACTACTTGATCGAAGTTAAATCATTATTTAACGAGGCTTAAACACCAACATTATTGCCACCTATTTTACTATTTTATCTACGAGACAAGACGTTACTTGAACTTGAACACTTACTCCTTAAATTGACCCCCCTTGTTCATAACCTAAATCTACAAAACTTGGTTTAATAGTTGTCCAGCATTTCCGTTGAGTAGGTTTTACGACCTTCACCGCGCCAGCAGTAACGCCAGAAGTGGAGAGCACACTATAAAATGAAAGACTACACATCACACCCTGGACGTGGACCCTAATAAGGAGAGAACATCAACAAATATAACTTGTCATTTTTTGTGGCAGCCAGTCCTTCATCTCGTAAAAACGATCGTTTTGGCTACTGCGTGCACTCCAACCAATCTCAAAGGACAAGAACGAACTGTTTATCGCTTTCTCTCGCAGTGTCTCCCCACGCTCATTGTGTCAATCAGCAGGACATAAAATATTTCCAGATGAGAGGAAATTACATTCATCCCCAGAAACCAAATTGCTCCCACCACCAATTCTCCGGCCTGACAGAGTGGAAAAGAAGGGCGATGGTCATCCAAAATCATGGTTTGGAAATTTACAGTAAACATAAACTTTGTAGGTTCATCGTGAACTTTGAAAATGCTCAATTATTTATTATCTTATTCAATATCATACCGTAGCTTGTGCATATGCAGATTGATCAATGGCTTACAAATCGTGTGTATGTATGTAGCTACCGGATCTAGGATGGATATGACTGAAATTAATGTGTTGCAGGGTCCAGTCAAAAATTACTTCAACACATAAACCAGTTCAAAGAGCAATACAACAGATTAATGTTTCAAATGAGATTCGGTCCGCTGGCTTCTACTTTTCTACACATTTATGTACAGTCGGTCAATGGATACAAGGCGTACTGTTAGGGAACCCCTGCTGGACTTGGTGGTTCAAGTCGGTTAAAATTGCATTAGAAATGATTTCACTCCAATAAAAACAGACCACAAAAAGTTAGTAATCATTTTTAGCCGTCTCGCACTAATTATGAGACCATGGGAGGCTTGTTTAATTCGTTAGTTGCTGAATAACCATGCGCCTCATATAATTCGGTTGTGATGATTTTATGGTTCATTGAGAATACATTTCGGCCATATCGCGAAACATCCGAATTTTTTTACGTTCTGTGTCTTTCGTCATGATTGCAGTAATTTCATTTCGTTTTTGTACCGAAGTATGCAGACTCTAGAGACCACACACATACGTGCAGAACGCGATTTGTAATTAGCTACATTTACAGAGATTTGTAGAGTGAATACATGCATCGGTAGAATTTACCAAAATCACTGTGCTAACGCTGACGAGTTAATCTTTTTGAGAAATTCCTTTATGACGATGAGATAATCATGATATACGTTATTTCCTTATTTCATTTTTCAAAACTGTTGATGCAGTGATGAGAAGAAACCTCTGAACTTTTGACTTACTACAATTTTAAACTGAACTTACTCAGAGTCCTTCTTGCGATTTTCCGGAATTTCTGCTTCATACTTTGGCATGTAAAATTGTGGGGGTCGTTTTCCTCCAACAATAGAGAGGCGTTCTTCTGGGGTGGACTGGAAACGTCGGTCTGGTAGTCGCCCATTCTGGTCTTCTGCCTTCACATAGAGCACGTACTCCATGTCCAGCTGGAAGGGGTCCGTCCCCCTGGTTCACGGAAAAGAAAATTTACAGTTATTTTTGGCATACGACGCCATGGAGGTGGATTGGCTGTTGTATTTCTCGCTTTGGGTTGGAGTTTGTTAGCTATCGCTAATCATAATAGTAAACAAGACTTGGATAATGCAAGAAAGTACTCACCGAGTTCGCACCACTCCTGACCTCTCGTCAACCTCGAAGCGACCACCGGCTGCAAATCACACGATGTCATTATTATTTTGACTAATTATGTGCCTCACATGGGTTAATGATATCCGGGGCTTAACATAAAGAAAGTCTTCATGACCATTATCATAATTGACGGAATCTTTAATTTCATTTCAAAGGTTGAAATCGTCTTGAACAAATTTTTATCAAAATGAGTGGTTATCAATAACAACTCCAATTTTGACCAAACCACAAAATCTCGTTTCTGACAAACCGCAAATACCAAAATTTGCGTATGCCTGTGCATCCTTAGCTGGTGGCATTGGTGTGTGACAAGAAGACAGCCAATAATTTGCAACCTCGTGCAGCACACTTCTTCCTGTGGTCTGAAGGAAGAGAAAAAAGAAGCTGCTTCTAATCCTGACCGCAATCGTTTATGTTTTGTTTGTTCGTCCACTTATAGCTGGCAGAAGATCATAAATCCTGAGGTTTTATCTCCAGTCAACCCTGTTTTGAATCCTGTCTTGATAAATCTAGGCAAGTGGCAGAATCTGGAACGCCTCAGTCAGGCCAATGTCTTGTTAAGGAGAAAGAATAACAAATATGGCTAATGCGAGTGTGTGCTACCACTATTTAACTGGAGAAAAAAATACAGGAAGACGAACGATCCTTCTTACGCATCGACAGATGTGCCAATCTCCTCTACAAATTACTACACTAAAACAGCTCCATTTGTAATAGTGTAGTTCTTCGTCTAATGCCTGGCTTATGCGAGCACATCTCCGTTCTGCGTGCATTGGAATTGATCAAACAGGGATGAAAAAGAGCTCGCAGGTATTTAGTCATGACACTCGATGATGAATAGCTTTCTGCATACACACTCAACAAAGGAAATCATAATATAATTTTTTGATCATACGTAAAGCTGACCTGACTAACTTTTGAAACCCGAAAAAATTGCGTCGCATCGTACAATGTGAGAAAACATTCAAAAATTAGTAAATTCGTGCATAATTTTTTCTCATAACACTGAAATTTCAATTAATAATGATTAAAAGTTTCACCACCGCCAAGTATTTTCTCTTTTCTGCAATTTCTACCGCTGGCTTATGGAAATAACAAAGTTTATGCAAATTGGCACACTAAATTATCATTAAAAGTGCTTCGTGGTGACGTAAAGTATGAGCAATTTCAGCGTTTGGTTAAACGAGTCAAAATCATTTTGAGCTTTATCCAGATAAATTTACTCGAATTAATTTCATAATTATGAAAATTAAACTAGTTCAAATGGACCTAGTAGCACTTCTTCTTTGCACAAGTTGCAAGTCAAGTGAGTGAGAATGATTATATTACGATATCATCCACACATGTCCACATTATATGATAACAATGTCATAATTACGGACAATTAGGAGACTCATTAAATGGTTAATATTGTGGTCGATCCCCGATGTTATATACGTCATATTATTAACAGTAGTTAACAGTTCAGACTGTTTGGTCGTTTGGAGCGAAGGCTAAGGGCTATGCAATGCCGATTACAAAGTGTAACGACGAGGAGAGTAGCAATTATTGAACGACTGTAAAAATACTCACTTCTGTCTCTGACGATGAAATAGTGGATGCTGTGATCAGTGTCGGGGTCTCGGGCCTGCAGTGTGAACACTGGCGTGTTTGGTGGGGCATTGAGCTGGACCACGGCTTGCATTGGGAGTGGTCGGTTGATGAAGTATGGAACCTCGTCGTTCACATCCTTCAAGTAAATAATCACTCGTTGGTTGTCCGTATCTGCAATTTAAACAAGAAACACAAATTTTTAGCATTTTCAACCATCTGCTTCTTGTGAAGCTAAATTGTACAAGGATTTTTGCATCTATCCGTACTACGCACGACAGAGGTTTCCAAAAACCAAATCAATCCATCAGAGTTAACTAAGGCTGTCATCGCATAATACGGCTTGGCCATATCGATCGATTCGCTAGAACTCAGCAGAATTCTCAGTCGACAAACTTGAGTCACTCCAACTGCTTTCCCACAATCCGTAATTCTATGTGCCTTAGCAGTATTTCTTTATTTCACAGAGTATAAAATCTGCAAAACAAAACTTCCCTTCTTTCCTTCACCCCCTTTCACTTTCCTCAATATTAAAGATATGCCAATGCAAGAAAATGAATGAACTCTGTGCCATGTGATTAAACCGAAACCTACGTAAACGAGCCTCAATCCATCTTACGCGACATTATGGACGAAAAAAGTTGTAATGAATTACGACGAAGAGCTTATGCAGATAACGCCATCAACTCTCATTTTTATCAGCCTGCAGCGACCCGAAAGGTAAATAAAATACTGCGCCCATTACTTTTTACTTTGTCGACGGAGGGATTGCATAATTAATTAAACATTTCGTAGAGTATTAAAGAAAGCAAAAAGGGAAACAAAAATGCAGTTTGAGCGTTAAGACAATAAAGCTCCAAAAAAGGAAGCGGAATTATTACACGTCGCAGGAAAATGGGTTCAGGTGGTAATAGCACGATCATAATTTGGAGTCATTTACTCGCTCGGTTATCCTCCTATCTCGTCTCCATCTCTGCACCCCTGAAGATAATCCACCAGCTCATATTATAATCGTGACAGTGATAGCTGACACTCGCTGGAGTTGTTGCCAGTGAAAACTAATAGCTCAAAGGTGTGTCAGAATTTGTAATGAGGCAAACTAAGGATAAGTAAGTAGCACTGTGCATTATACGCTCTCTCGCCTTGTCACAACTCATCATCCGAGTGCCTGCATTATTACAAAGTACGAACATAAATTACGGCACTCTAAAAGGAATTCACAAACAAAACGTACAAATTCATCCTACTAAAATGTAGAACAAATTTTACGTAAGTTCAAAATTTGATGGGGAAATAAAATTCCGTGCTGACGGGCATTCCTTCCGACTGGAAGTTTATTTTAATAGCTTATTTACACAAAAGACTCGGAGCTCGAGAGTTAATGAAGTTTTTCCTCTGCAAACACTGCTCCGAGATTGCACAAAAGACGTGTGCATGCTTTTCATGGAAATTATTCGCCCATTTAAAGGAATGGACTTTGCTAACTTGGGCCTTCATTTCAAGCTACAATAAAATAGTAATTAACGTGAAGAGTTGCCAATCACCTGCACTCATGAAGGCTTAATTCCATGATTTTAGTTCTTGACTATCCCGTTGGGAAGACTACACGGACATTTGGCTTACAATTTGTTACCCGTTTTATTACCGACTTTATAATACACTCAATAATAAGTGTTCCTAGCCTGGAATTGGAGCCGTATGCAAGTCTGCTGCATGCATGTCATGAAACCAGTTAAGAAAAATTCCCCTTAAAAAATGAGACTCCTGCCTCATTTGCTTATCATCGCATGCAAGCCATTAGAATTAAGGACAACATGAAAGTTCACAGCCTTGAATTACTCGAGAAGTTTAATGAGACAGGGGAAAGGATGGTGATGGTGAGTGAATGAGCGATAGACGGTCGGATAAGATGGAAAATAAGTGAGAACTGAGGCGACATTTGAGTTTAAGTAATAAGGGATTGATTGTAATAAAACTACTGACTGACTGACTGTTGCATGACTCCACTCGAGTCGAGAGGTGAGTAAATGATACCAAATTATTTTTTACTCGCCCTCTCAACAATGCGTCCAGACATTCAAATTCTAAAGTGCATCCAACGAGAGAAGAGTTAACAATCGAGACTCGGAGTAACCGCAGCAAATAAAAGTCATGGTGCCATTAAAATGCTAAAGAGACATAGGAAAAGTAGTGGCAACTGATATTTGAGGAGAGAAGAAGGCTAATCAGCGACTGACTGAAACTGGGATTTCGTTCAATAATTCTTCCCAACTAATCCATCGCCCGTCCGAGTACAAAAAGAGCTGAGAGGAACTGAGTCGTTTTACACCTGGGAATTAGTCTGCTTTGTAATACAAAGTCTGTATTCTCATCTGGTTGCAATTTGAATTACTTAAAACTTCAAAAGTCAAAATGGACATGGTAAAATCAGTGAAATGTAATTCATCATTTCTTGAAAGCTGTAAAGCGTGTGACTCTGCGATTCTAACTTAGAATTTCTATAACCCAAAGCAAGCGAAAAAGGAGAATTTTTAAGCAATTAGAAGAACTTACATTTTGCTGCAGATATCCGTAAGAAGGATGAGAGCGAGACAGAGATGCGGCACAAAAGGAGAAAAAAGAGAAAGACAGATTTAGTCATCATCATCATTGTTTCCACTGTATCGAAACGGAATTAAGTTTGGGTATCCGATGTGTATTATGTAATTGTACAATATTCGTGTCATTCTTTCGTCGTCGTCCTTGTTTCATTATTTTCTCTCCAGAGTCAAGATCTTATCGCACGGCAGACAAGTATAAAATGGCCATTTGTTTTTGTATTGAAGTCTGTGTGTCAATGTGGATTGGATGGATGTAAAAAGAGTCACAAAACACGTAACAAGCCATGTACAAGGTATTGACTGACAGGTTAAAAGTTGATTTAGATTTGAATCTATGTATCCATCCATGGGCAGGGAAAAGTAGCTGAAGCTATGCTAACGAAATCCACACTCGCTCGATAACAGCTCGGTTACATCGAGACGGCTTCTTCCTAGTTGGCTTACACATACTGCCAGAGTGGCGATAAGAATAATTTTGCTTCTGGAATTGGGTGGAGACGGAATCATCAAAACAAACACGAGGTTGACACATTTACTACGAGAATAAAAATAAAGCAGCTTTTTCATCATCATCGTTCCCCTTTGAAATCTGGCTTTCCACCAGAACTTCAAAATTTGACACATGGCGATAATAAAGACAAGACACAAGAACAAGGTTTGAGGGAGCGGCGGCAGTACGGCGGACGAATAGAAGATACCGAATAATGAGTGGAACAAAGCCTCCATCACCACGACGGAGGGTGGATTGGATTATCTCGCTGACTTTATTTAGCCCAATAAATCCACTCCCCACATTATTGGCCAGAATAAACACGCGGCAGATAATAAACTGCGGTGGTAGTTTGATAAGTCCAGATAGGGTAGAAATTATGGGTATGCATATGCAAATGACGAGCTACACGGACGTGCTCATAGCCAGATAGTAAATTACAAGATCAATATTTGCTCAAACAACAATGAGAGATTTGTCATAATATTGCCGACTATGTAGCATACGGCGAACCGTGCTTGCATAATATTTTACTTCATTATGTCATCAGTCTTCGTCCGTCCAGAGGAACCTTGCAAATTACAATACATTGGCTTCTTCCCTTTTACTTTCAACTTTCTCCACGCGAAGAACGGTACAAAACACACAGCACCTCCGACATCGACATTATGGAAAACCAAGATAAAAATAACAATGTGCTACTTCTGGTTGTAATGAAATGTGAGGGTAAATATTGGGCCCATTTTTCCGCAAGAATTTTTTATAATCTCAGTTCTAGTTGCGAATATATTATGTATTCAGATGCTGCACGAATATTTATGTATAGCAGCATTTGAGGTGGCCCGACTGGATGATGTGGTGCACTTTCATTTAATATGCAATTTCAGAAGAAGCAGGATATTCTTATTGATGACGCAACATCACATTTCACCACAGACGTCGTGTGCCAGAGGGAAGATTCTGCTCATCCGGAAAACAACAAGGAGCGCGGTCATCCCATAATCGTTTCCGGAATTGGTAGTTGTAGGACCATTGCCGTGTCTCGAGGGTGGTTCCTTCACTCCTTTATCCACCCATCCGCCGCCGCCTTGTCTCTCAAGACGCTTTCCTCGCCTGCCCTTTCCACCAAGGAGCCAGTCTTACGACATCATTTGCATCCAATAGCTCCACTGCAATTTCACGGGCCTGGTTTTTATTTGCATCGCTGTGCAGAGAAAGTTGTTGCGTATGTCATCGTGAATGTACAAATGCAGTCAACCATCAACCACGAGCTAAATACATTTGCATGCTGTGGCCCCTAATCATCCACGGCCTGCATTTGTATAAGTGGAGACCTTGTACCTTTCTCAAACCTAAAGGTACATCCTAAGCAAACAAACATTTCTTTGATCAATATTGACGTCAGCGGTATTTTATTTCCCCAGACGCATAACAGACCGAGCTGTTGTGTAATATTTGCTTCGCTATATACCCGCACATAAATCCTTACGTATGCACAGTGACACATAACACGGAGCAGCACAAGTGAAAGCCCGTGACAGTCGCTGCAGTTGCGAAATTTAATTTTCTCAAAGTAAATAAATTCTTGATGGAGTAGGACGCAACCCGTTTGGTGAGGGGCGGCTGAGTGGAAGTAAAATATTTTTCATCATGAATTAAAGATTGGAAATAGTCACGATTGCTGACTTCCATTTTGAGTCAATAAATTAATCATTCGCTTTTCTCGGCAATAAATTTCCAAGAAAATACGAAATAAAATAGAACCAGCATCTTTGTGCTTTTATTTATTGTGCAATATTGTTGATTTAGACGCGGTTGCCGTTTCTTCATCTAAATCAAATCCTCATGCACGAAAAGCTTTATAATTGCGAGACAAGATCAAAGGGAAAGTCGGCATGGGTAGAGAGTTCTTTGAGAATTAGGCGCACAGAGAATGGTAAACAAAGATGCAACGTAACACAGTTTAGATTTTTGTCCACATTGGTTTGCTCTGATTGATAATCTAACGTTGACCAAAGGGATCAAAAAAGTGCATTTATTTTCTGTTTATTCTCTTCCTGGATCAAATTGAGTTCACTGCGGGTTGTTTATTTTGAGTCTCTTCCCGACGGTGTTTTACTTCCTTGGAGGCAAGAATAGGCTCCGACAAAGGAAGCGGAGGCTGACGAAATAACAGGGGAAAGTCGTTGCGTGTTGCTCAAGAGCACCAAAGTTGGGAATTTGTGGGGAGGAAGCATCTAACTCACTAACAACAAGGAGATGAGGGAAAGAACCTGCTCAGCTCTTGCTTGAAAAATCGACCTGGTAGCGAAGCCCTTTACACCTTTATAAACAAGTCAGGAGCATTTATAAGTAATTGAGCAAAGGGGAGCGATATTCAGGTGCAAAGGTGTTTCAAACAAATGAAAGATAAGGCGACAAAATATCGCTGGCTGGTGTGATGCAGATTTTAGACTAAGCATATTCCGCGTCGAGAATTATTACGAGAATTTGGCAAGTTTTTACAAGATTGAAATGACAGCCAGCTCATCGAATTTTCCCATTACGAGAATCCCTTTAGTCAAGGCGATAACGATTTTACTTTCACTTGAGCAAATACATCCACACAATGCTAATACATAATAGGATAATGCTACATACATATATTCTGATGGTCTTCGCAGCACACTGCCTGTAAATGCACGGGGAGCGGAGGAGGATGCATTCGTATCGAACCTTTGGAGACATGGGGCAGGCAGGACCGCTGCCACTATTAAAACTACTTTTATGCTGACTATACATTTATATTGTGGATCGATTTCTCCAACAACACGACCCCAGGAACCCAAGTTCACTCGGAGTTCATGCTACAGACAGAGAGCCGGTCTCCTAAAATTGAACTTTATCAGCCCAACTTTTACTTTCTTTCTTCCTTCCGCTCCCGTGAGTGTCCTCCATCCATCTCTCCACGAAAAGCACAAGGACTCTTTGGAGGGACAGCTTTTGTACATGCACGTACATTCACATGTGGAAAATCAATTTCTGCATCACTCTGTTGAAAAGCATCACTCTACCCGAAATATTTCTCCAGTGCCATTTTAATGCTAATCCACATGGAGTAGAACGAGGACGGATAACACAATTTTGAAAAGACAAAATTGCAATGTGTTTGTCGCATCACTCGTCATAATTATTTGAGTGAAAGCACATGTCTCTTGGTGTGACATTCCACTTTAAATGCTCCATTTATACAAATTTCCATCTCGCCTTTTCCTCGTGCCTGGCTGGAACTGGGAGAAGAGGAATAAACCCGAATATCCTCCCCGGCACTTTGCTGGAGAAGAGTTCACTCGAAGTCATTCTTTGCGAGGGAGGGGGAGGAGGAGGCAGCAGAACTTTCCCCGTCGTTGCCAAACACGGCAGAGCTACACACAGTCTTGCTTTCCACTTCTTTTTACGTATTCCGTGACTTGCTTGGTTTGAGGCATTTAGAAATTGCGCTAAAAATATTGCAGATATAAAACCAACTGCATTAGGAGGAACCTTGTGTTTTATGCAAGCCACCACTTACTCCGTCTTATCTAGATATGACCCGTAAGGTGCATTTTTATGTCGTACTTTACAAAAATGTCCTTAATTTTGATGAAACCCGTTCGACAAGGCTTGGAATACCAATATATATGTAAAAGTGCGATGGTTAGTCTATTTGTACAGGCGAAGGAGAGGAACTCCAGCGAGGGATGAAAATTCCGAAATCCAATATTCGTTTGTCGTGAATTCTGATATTTCTCTGAATTTTCTCAACTTATTTTGGCATGAGAATATTATTGTCATATGTACGACTGTCTAAATTCTACACACCAACGACGAGACCAGAAGACCATTTGCACCAGCATTTCCCCTTCACCGACAATATCTGTCAGGCTGTCTCCCCGACTGAGTGGTCGGGAGGCATGCAACTGAATGCAGTTTACGATATCGTCTCCCGTCATTTGGAAATGCAGTCTTTTTTCTGAGAGTTGGAGTGAATAGCCTTCAGTTAAAAACATAATAACCTGTCAATTATGAAAAGAAGGAGAAATCCTGATAAGCTCTAACACGCTGCAATTATTACACATATTAGAAGTCCAAATGAAAAAAAAAGATCTGGAGATAGACTGCGACGTACACAAAATCATTTGGCAGCTGATATTATTGAATCAATTATTTTAAGAACACAATGCTGGAAAATGAATGAGTTCGTTGTCGTTCCCTTTAACAAAATAATTAGATGCAAATCTATAAAAAAAATTCTTTAAATTTCGGTTCTTCACCTTTGAATAAATTATCTAAAACTCATTCAACAATTTCGTAAAAGTGAGGAATGTCTGAGGGTGAAAAGGGTAAAAGTGGCACTGACAACTGAAAACCTTTCCCTGTCCAAATTTCTGACATTACAAAGTTTTGTGAGACGAGCATTGATCGCTCTCAATCAAACTAGTGATGGCATT